CAATTTGGAAAGTCCAGGACAATCTGCTCTATTGAGTCCTTTCTTGTTTTCACTGCTTTTCTTCTTGTGGCTAGCTTCCTCTTTACTTCCTAAGCTAGGGCTCATTTTTAAACAAATATCCATTATCCATGTTTATGTTTCTATCGGCCCCATCATCCAATGGCAGACTGATGCAGAATACAATGCTGCTATTTGGGGAACAGCTGTAATGGTTCCCAGTGGTCTATCATAAGGATCTTGGATACAGAAGGCAAAGTAGCTTGTAAATCAACTTGATATATAAATTACTTTGCTGTCATACAATAACTGCTCTTAAAAATACATAAAATTTTCCAGGAGTCACATTTCAATGAAGCAATTTTCCATGTAGGCCTTTCAAACACTAAACATTAAACACACACACCCCAAAACATTTATCACACCAGGTGGCACTAATCTCATTATCTTTTTGGGAAAACAGGGCAGGAGGTATGGACATCCTGACAGATATGTTGCTATTTTAAAATCCTGCCCCCTTATTACCAGTAAAACCCATGGGATATATTAACTACATGAGCTCCAGTCTACAAAACAGATGAAGCAACTTTGGATCCAGAAAAGAGGCAAGGTCATACTTGAATAAACTGCCCAACATTACATAAACTGTGTAATGTTTATTATTTTTATATAATAGCATTTATTGGGTTAGTATTTTCCATATGATTTTGTTTTAATTTGTTCCTTGTATTTCATTTTGTACAGCTGTGCAGAATAATGATTTACCACTAGTTGGGCAGTGTACATTGGTGCCTCGACTTATGAACGTCCCTGCTTACGATCATTTCGAGTTACGGCCAGCTTCGACTTGCGGCCAGATCTTCCAGTTACGAACAGAAAAAGGCAGGGAAAAAAGGCGGGAAATTCAAATTTCTAACTCTAGGTGGTGATGAGGCTGCTTCTTTGTAGCTCTTTTGCCCTAGCAGTTAGAGAGTGTGCAATCAGGAGGAGGCTTGGGACTGCCTGGCTTCTGCTTCTGAGGGAGTATGTGTGTGTTTGCAGGGAGACTTTAGACTGCTTGGTAAGGTAAGGTGCTGTTTTCTGCTTTTAAAAAACTGTTCTTGGTGTTTTTGCAGCATGGTTTTGGGCTGGGGGGGTTATCTTTCTGTGCTGTGATGGGTCTTGGGAGGTTTGTTTGTTTTTTGGGTTTCCCCCCATTTCCGATGGGTCTTGGGGGCTTTCCTTGCTTATTGGATTTTTCTTCCCCCATTTCCGATGGGGGTTTTCTTGCTTTTTGGATCCCCCCATTTCTGATGGGTCTTCGGGGGTTTCTTTGCTTTTTGGATTTCCCACCACCCCATTTCCGATGGGTCTTGCAGGGCTTGGTTGCTTTTTGGTTTTTTCCCCCATTTCCGTCTTGTGGAGTTTTTGAAGCAATTTTCCATGTAGGCCTTTCAAACACTAAACATTAAACACACACACCCCAAAACATTTATCACACCAGGTGGCACTAATCTCATTATCTTTTTGGGAAAACAGGGCAGGAGGTATGGACATCCTGACAGATATGTTGCTATTTTAAAATCCTGCCCCCTTATTACCAGTAAAACCCATGGGATATATTAACTACATGAGCTCCAGTCTACAAAACAGATGAAGCAACTTTGGATCCAGAAAAGAGGCAAGGTCATACTTGAATAAACTGCCCAACATTACATAAACTGTGTAATGTTTATTATTTTTATATAATAGGATTTATTGGGTTAGTATTTTCCATATGATTTTGTTTTAATTTGTTCCTTGTATTTAATTTTGTACAGCTGCTCAGAATAATGATTTACCACTAGTTGGGCAGTGTACATTGGTGCCTCGACTTATGAACGTCCCTGCTTACGATCATTTCGAGTTACGGCCAGCTTCGACTTGCGGCCAGATCTTCCAGTTACGAACAGAAAAAGGCAGGGAAAAAAGGCGGGAAATTCAAATTTCTAACTCTAGGTGGTGATGAGGCTGCTTCTTTGTAGCTCTTTTGCCCTAGCAGTTAGAGAGTGTGCAATCAGGAGGAGGCTTGGGACTGCCTGGCTTCTGCTTCTGAGGGAGTATGTGTGTGTTTGCAGGGAGGCTTTGGACTGCTTGGTAAGGTAAGCTGCTGTTTTCTGCTTTTAAAAAACTGTTCTTGGTGTTTTTGCAGTGTAGTTTCTGTGCTGTGATGGGTCTTGGGGGGGCTTGTTTGTTTTTTGGTCCCCCCCCCATCGGAAATGGGTTGCTTTTTGGAGTGCTTTTTCCCATTTCTGATGGGTCTTGGTTTTTTGGGGGGGTGGTTTTGTTTTTTGGTTCCCCCCCATTTCCGATGGGTCTTGGGGGCTTTGGTTGCTTTTTGGGGTTTTCCCCCAATTTCCCCCTGATTTTCAAAATATGTTATTGTTGTTTAGTCATTTAGTCGTGTCCGACTCTTCATGACCCCATGGACCAGAGCATGCCAGGCCGTCCTGTCTTCCACTGCCTCCCGGAATTGGGTCAAATTCATGTTGGTAGCTTTGATTACACTGTCCAACCATCTTGTCCTCTGTTGTCCCCTTCTCCTCTTGCCCTCACACTTTCCCAACATCAGGGTCTTTTCCAGGGAGATTTCTCTTCTCATGAGATGGCCAGAATACGGAAGCCTCAGCTTCCGGATCTGTCTTTCCAGTGAGCACTTAGGTTTGAATTCCTTTAGAATGGATAGGTTTGATCTCCTTGCAGGCCAGGGGACTCTCGAGAGTCTTCTCCAGCACCACAATTCAAAAAGCATCAATTATTTGGCGGTCAGCCTTCTTTATGATCCAGCTCTCACTTTCATACATCACTACTGGAAAAATCATAGCTTTGAGTATGCAGACCTTTGTCGGCAAGGTGATGTCTCTGCTTTTTAAGATGTTGTCTAGGTTTGTCATCACTTTCCTCCCAAGAAGCAGGAGTCTTTTGATTTTGTGGCTGCTCTCACCATCTGAAGTTATCATGGAGCCCAAGAAAGTAAATATGTCACTGCCTCCATATTTTCTTCTATTTGCCAGGAGGTGATGGGACCAGTGACTACGATCTTAGTTTTTTTGATGTTGAGATTCAGACCATTTTTGCGCTCTTCTGTTTCACCCTCATTAAGAGGTTCTTTAAGTCCTCCTCACCTTCTGCCATCAGAGTGGTATCATCTGCATATTGGAGGTTGTTGGTATCATCTGCATATCTGAAGTTGTTCAAGATATGACCAGCGACCTATTTGCTGGTGGAACTGCTCTATTGGTGAAGAAATTTGTTGCTTCAAAGAGTGCATTTCAGGAGATGTTGCTTCCATGCATCTAAAACATTTGTCTTGAATTCCCAAGCCCTTCATAACCCTTTCGATGCTAAAATTTGGCACATCTGTTAACTGAGGCTGAAAAAAATAATATGCCCTATTGCTTTCAACAGAGGAAGGCAAAGCTTGAAAATGAAAGAAATCTATCACACTATTAGAAAAACTGGCCTTCAAACTCAGCTATTCTGTCAGTGAGATGATTTACGCAACAATTTAAATATATGGTTGTTGTGCGTTTTTCGGGCTTCTTGGCCATGTTCTGTAGGTGGTTTTTCCTAACGTTTCGCCAGTCTGTGGCCGGCATCTTCAAATAAAACCTAAAACTAGATTTTATTAAACTGTTTCTGGCTGAATACAGAAAGCCTTCAGAGACAAAGAAAGCTAGCTGATGCCATTGCTTATCACTGGTGCATATTGTGCAACAATTTCATCTTTCAACATGAGTGTTTTGGAGTTCTGTTGGATTCCCATATGAGCATATCCAGAGGGGGGGGGAAGGCAATATTAATAAGTGCTAAGAAACTCTTGCTGCTATCACAGAGGTCCAAAAGAGGAGACTGAGAAACTGGTATCTGTTTCTGGCGATACACAGACACTCAACGACAGTGGAAGAGAAATTGTATCTGGAGGTGAGAAAAGTCATGAAATAAATTTACCATTTCAATATGTGTGAATACTGAACATTGCTACTGCTTGACAGTTTTCCTGCCTTCTAAGGAGATCTTACTGCACAGGTGCAGACAGTGAGAGTAGAACCAATATCCGCCTAGAGTGGTTGTTCGACTAGATAGGCGGGGAATAAATACAATAAATAAATCCAGGTCCTAAGGCAATTAAGACTTTCGGGGCCATCATCAACAGCTTGCAGTTGGATAACATATGCATTGGCAATTGGTCTAACTCTTTCAGAGTAGTATTATATAAGCAGTGAAAGCTATCCCTGAAAGCAATGTGATGGTAGCCTTTATTTGCGAGGCGGGGAATAAATACAATAAATAAATCCAGGTCCTAAGGCAATTAAGACTTTCGGTGTCATCATCAACAGCTTTCAGTTGGATAACATATGCATTGGCAATTGGTCTAACTCTTTCAGAGTTAGTATTATATGAGCTGTGAAAGCTATCCCTGAAAGCAATCTTCCAGCATCTTCTGATAATTTCAATGTATAGTCAAATGGGGGAAATACACCTATTTGTTAAGAAATTTGGAGGTGTGGTACTACCCTTCCTCATCTATTTGTTCCTGCCTTGTTTTTATAGTTCAGTGTAGCAAATATTTTATTTTCATTCCTAACATATGTATGTGTACTGACTCTATGTATTATTATACAGCCTATTTTATAATTTTTTCTGATAATTTCAATGTATAGTCAAATGGGGGAAATACACCTATTTGTTAAGAAATTTGGAGGTGTGGTACTACCCTTCCTCATCTATTTGTTCCTGCCTTGTTTTTATAGTTCAGTGTAGCAAATATTTTATTTTCATTCCTAACATATGTATGTGTACTGACTCTATGTATTATTATACAGCCTATTTTATAATTTTATGAACACTGAGTTCACCACATGCATAAATACCGATAATTTAATTTAAAAGTAGACCATAACAATAACAAAATAATAATCAGCTGCAAGTAATGTGGCTGTAATACTTCCACTCCTGTCTTTCTGTGTCCTTTCACAGGCAATATGCATCTTAAGGAACAGAACCAAAGTAACCAGTCTTCTCTCACACACTTTATTCTGTTGGGATTCTCAGAGGCTCATGAGATACAGATTCTGCTTTTCACTGCGTTCCTTGTTTACTACCTGGTAGCAGTTGGAGGAAATCTTCTCATCATCTCTACAGTAGCTACTGACCACCACTTACATAATCCCATGTATTTTTTTCTGATGAACTTGGCCATACAGGATATAGGAGAACTTTCAGTTATTTTCCCCAAATCCATAGCAAATTCCATCCTGGATAGTAGACAGATTTCTTACTCTGGATGTGTGGCTCAAGTACTTTTCTACGTCTTCTTCGTAGCCGCTGATTTCTCTCTTCTCACAGTTATGGCGTACGATCGGTATGTTGCGATTTGCAATCCATTACAATATGAGATGTTGATGAACAAGCAAGCCTGCCTTCAAATGACTGCTATTGTCTGGATCACTAGCTTCCTTTATGGAGTATTACACACTGGAGGTACCTTTGCAGCCCCATTTTGTTCCAATGTTGTCAATCAATTTTTCTGTGAAATACCTGCTTTATTAAAGCTCACCTGCTCCAACTTTTACTTACTTGAATTTCGACTTGTTTTGTTGGGTGCTGCTGTTTTAGTAGGGTGTTTTATTTTCATTATTGTGACTTACGTATGCATCTTTAATGCGGTGCTAAAAATTCCCTCCATGCAGGGAAGGCAGAAGGTTTTCTCAACTTGCCTTCCCCACCTCATTGTGGTTTCTGTATTTATATCTGTAGGATGTCTTGTATATATCAAACCATCTTCTAATTCTCCATCATACCCAGATTTGGCATTTACTGTTTTGTATTCCATGGTTCCCCCTTTAATGAACCCAATAATTTACAGTATGAAAAACAAGGAAATAAAAAAGTCTCTCTCTAAGATTTTACTTCTAAAATAATGCATTGTATGTTATTTTTATAGTTATATTTCAAAAATGGGATTTGTTTTTATATCTGGCGTAACTCTTCTATATAATATTGGTGCATGAGAATGCAGCAGTTATTGTGTGGCTGAGCCAATAATTTTTTTTTTCTAGTGGATATTTTCTTTTTCTTTTGTGAACTGTATTGAAATACAGTGTAAACCTTTAATGAGAGCTGTACAATAAAATATAATAAAATATACAACACAAAAATAGAATACTTCTCTTTTTCCTCAGTTCACCCAAGTCATGGTATGTAATCTTTTATCCACAACAAATTAAATGTTAGCTGTGGAAGAGATGTCTTCTTTCTCTGGCTGATTCTGCATCATTAAAGTTTAGGTTAAAACCAGAGCTGTTCACAGGTACACCAATTCAGTTTAGAGTCTGCTTTAGATCAGAGCCCAGTATGGCCATGAATGATCTGGATCTCATCCAGTTGTGTCCAAGACCAAATTTGTATTAGTCAAGAAATGGAATCCCTGGCATTTCTAGCTAAGGATGACAAAACATCTGTTGATATCATTGAAAGCTATTACTCAACAATGTAGAAAAATATGATATTGTACTCTTTCCTTCCTTCCTTCCTTCCTTCCTTCCTTCCTTCCTTCCTTCCTTCCTTCCTTCCTTCACTATTAGCTCAGGTAGTTGGTTGTGATGGACACTGCTCACTTTCTGGATGAGCACATTTTACCAAATCCTGATCAACAGAATTTTGGACCAGACTCGTCTGAGTGAACTATGGAAGGTGAGATGTAAACAATTGTAACACATAGATGAATTTTGTAAAAACCTTCATTGGGCCATTACTAAATATTACTATTGCCAGTCACTTCTATTGCCTCCCCAGCAGATCTCAGTGATCAGGCAGCTCCATAAAATAACAGGATCTCCTTAAATAGCCAGGTCATAAACCATTTAGGGCTTTCTTGGTCATCTCCAACCATTTGAACTTAGACTGGATATCTGTTGGCAGCTAGTGTGATTATTTTAGAATCAGTATCATATGGGTTCTGAAAGACATGTGAGCAGTCTGGCTATCACATACTATATGTGGTGCAATGTCTGTGTCATCTTAAAGGGTAGCCCTATATAAAGTTATTTCCTATGTCTAACTTGAATATCTGAGGAGAGGTCATTCTTGGCTTCTCTACTTACCTGATCAGTTTGTGGTTCTATAAGAGATAAAGGTAAAGGTTCCCCTTGACAATTTGTCCAGTTGTGTCTGACTCTAGGCGGCGGTGCTCATCTTTGTTTCCAACCCACAGAGCTAGCGTTTGTTCGCAGAAAATCCTCCATGCTCACGTGGCCAGTGTGACTAGACACGGAACATCGTTTACCTTCCCACCGAGGTGGTACCTATTTATCTACTTGCATTTTTGCATTTTGCATGCTTTCAAACCACTAGGTTGGCGGGAGCTGGGACAAGTGACTGGGGCTCACTCCATCGTGTGGATTCGATCATATGAATGCAAGTCTTCTGACGTTGCAACACAGAGGCATCTGCGGTTTTACCCGCAGTGCCACCACATCCCTGTAAGAAAGACGTGCACAAAAAAATGGTCTGAAGCTCAACATCAAAAAAGCTAAGATCATGGCCACTGGTCCCATCACCTCCTGGTAAATAGAAGGGGAAGATATGGAGGCAGTGACAGATTTTACTTTCTTGGCCTCCGTGATCATGGCAGATGGTGACAGCAGTCACAAAATTTAAAAAAACTCCTGCTTCTTGGGAGGAAAGCTATGACAAACCTAGACAGAATCTTAAAAAACAGAGACATCACCTTGCTGACAAAGGTCCACATAGTCAAAGCTATGGTTTTTCCAGTAGTGATGTATGGAAGTGAGAGCTGGACCATAAAGAAGGCTGGCTGTCAAAGAACTGATGTTTTGGATTGTAGTGCTGGAGGAGACTCTTAAGAGTCCCCTTGACTGCAAGGAGATCAAACCTATCCATTCTGAAGGAAATCAACCCAAGTGCTCACTAGAAGGACAGATCCTGAAGCTGAGGCTCCAATACTTTGGCCATCTCATGAAAAGAGAAATCTCCCTGGAAAAGACCCTGATGTTGGGAAAGTGTGAGGGCAAGAGGAGAAGGAGACAACAGAGGACAAGATGGTTGGACAGTGTCAGTGAAGCAACCAACATGTATTTGATCAAACTCTGGGAGGCAGTGGAAGACAGGAGGGCCTGGCGTGCTCTGGTCCATGTGGTCACGAAGAGTCGGACATGACTTAACGACTAAACAACAACAAGAGAGAATAACAAGAGAGCCAAATATGTAGTAGAGTATATTTTCTCAAATTCCAAATTAATTCCAAATTAATAAAGTAGAATGGTTGTTGTGGGTTTTTTGGGCTCTTTGGCCATTTCACGTCAGGAAGAACAACCTTCAGAACAAAGTCAAAGAGCACGAAAAACCCACAACAACCATCAGATCCCGGCTGTGAAAGTATGATTTCTCAAGTCATCTCACTAAGAGAATAGTTCAGGTTGAAGGCCAGTTTTTCTAAAAATTGTTCTGATAAATTTCTTTAACTTTAAATCCTTTCCTTCTTCTATTGAAATCAGCTTGGACATATTATTTTTTTCACTCTCATTTAACAGTAATGGGTATGCCCAATTTTAGTATCAAAATATGGAGGTTTTTATTGCATGGGAAGCAATATATCCTGTAATGCCAAGGAAGCCTCAAAACATAAAAAGGGAAAATAGAAAATTTTCAATTAGTGTAAATGTAATTCCTCTGATGCCATGTCTGAATTGCACTGGGAACAAAGTTAGGCAGCATGATTTTGCTCATTTTTTTTTTTAAATATCGGGTGCGGGGGTTGCCTTCTATAATTAAGGAACTGCAAATATTGTGATGAAGATATGTACATGGCTGTCTGTAGCACCCCTTTCTCATATACTTATGTCAATGCTCACTTTTGTCTTCTCACTTGACTCTTTAGATAATGGTCTCTTTATGTAACCAGAGGCTTTATTATTCTATAATAATCTTCCTTAGTTCTTCACCTCGTCTTTCACTACCACTAACCATTAAATGCCATTAATGAGTGTAACTGCCCTTGTGTAGTATCATCCTCCACATTATCAGTCCTCAGATATTGGACTCAGAAACACTCAGTTTGAATAAAGTTAATAGAATTTTATTAAACATAGGTGTCAAAGGAGCATAGTTTATTTTTATTTTAAATTTATTCAGAATAATTCTACATATTTTCTACCACCTATTACTCTCAAATTATCTCTTTGACTGTAGCGGGCACGCTGAAGCCTCTACCAACTCAGGCCTCCAGTATGTGCTCACTCCTCTTCTTAAGTAGCTGCCACCAGGTATTGCTGTTTCAATACCAATAAATCACTGACTCATGTGTTTCTTTAAAACTTAAACGTGTTTATTTGATTAATAAAATAAAATAGGTAAATCACAAGTGGTTAATCAATAACTCTCTCATTCACTGACACACACAGACTCTTCCCTCACAGACTATTTGGCTCACAGGCCCATAGACACTCTCATCACTAACTCTCACAAAAAACTCCCCCTCTCCACATCATACACCACTTTATATATTCCAGCTCCTCCCTCTTCTGCACCACCTTCCGTCCCCTCATTGGCTGATGTTCCACTGCCCAGCTGTGACAGACAGGTGAGGGCAGGGCTGAATGCTACATTGACCGCTCTCTCTGATCACTCTAAAACAGAACCTAGACTGATCTTCTTCAGATGGCACTGTCCCTCACACAAACTCACTCTCCTTACCTAGTTTATTTCCCTCTAATGAAAACTATTGTTGGCAACATTCCATGTTCCTCCCTCAACCTCTCTCATTACATATTTACCAAACCAATGAATTTCAAACAATACACCTACCATTATAATATAAAACACACATATAAAAGTAACCAGGCATCTCACTCAAAACTGTTAATATATAATAATTTGTTGAAACTACACCACCAAACAGAAGATTTCAAAATTCAGCAAGGTACAAATCTGATCAAGCAAGCTTTAATAGGTTGGGAATTTCACAAAGATATTGATCAGTAACATTAGTGCAATGAGGGGCTGAAACAATCCTTCCACATGTAAAATCTCAAAAAGAATAAGCTTGTGATCCCAACAATACTAATCATTTGAAGGCAGGGTTATTTATTTATCAACATCTCCATATTATTATGGACTGCAGATTTTACCAATTGTATGCCATAACTGTTTTTAAAAAGATGTCTGATGCCATACAGATTATTTAAAAGAGAATTGGAGCCCGAGCTGGCTGATGCCCTGTCCCATCAACCGATCGACCGGTCCAGGGCATTGGCCCTGGAAGCTCAGGCTCATCCAGAGGTATTACCACAAGAGGTATGTAGCATTGTAGCTATTGCTCCTAGTACCAGGCGCAGCTATGCAGCTGCTTGTGAAGAATTTTTTGCCTTTTGCAGTGGAGAAGGCATGGGTAGACCATGGCCTATGACGGTTGACCATTTTCAGCAGTACAGAGTCCACCTCCATCAGAAAGGTTTGGATCCCCGTACCATTCAGGGGAGGGACGTGGTGGAGCTGTGGGCTAAACCATAGAAGCCTGTGCTGCAGGGTCAGAAGACCAGCAGTCGTAAAATCGAATCCACGCAACGGAGTGAGCTCCCATCGCTTTGTCCCAGCTCCTTGCCAACCTAGCAGTTCAAAAGCATGTAAATATGAGTAGATAAATAGGTACCATCTTGGTGGGAAGGTGAAATGGTGTTCCCTAGTCACGCTGGCCACGTGACAATGGAAACTGTCTTCGGGTAGGCGCTGGCTCGATGGCTTGAAAAGCGGGATGAGCGCCACCCCCTAGAGTCGGACACGACTGGACTAAAAATGTCAAGGGGAACCTTTAACTTTGCCTTACCATTCAGGGGAGGTTGTCTTCTCTGGCCTTTTATGCCAAGGTCCATGCTTGCCCTGATCTGGCTAGTGATTTCAGGGTCAAGAAAATGATTGTGAATTGGAGCAAGGAGAGGGGCAGGCATGAGAATAGGTGCACCCCAATGCCCCCCCAAAATTTTCAGCTGGGTCAGGTTTGGGGCAATGTTTGTATTGACCAAGAGGAGGTCAAATTATTCAAAGCAGCAATGCTATGTGCATTTCGGGGGCTTTTAGAATTAATGAGTTGGTAAGAGCGTCCAAATCAGTTAATTCAAGGATGGTGTTGCAGATGGGTGACTTATTGGTCTCTGAAGACAGAGTTTTGTTTCATCTCTGCTGATATAAGACTGATCAATCAGGAAAAGGCCAGGTTATAAATTTAGGGTGTTGTTCAGTAAGAGAGCTATGCCTGGTTAAGGCCATTTTTGACTTTGTTGAGGCAAGAGGGGCTTCAATGAGAGATTTATTTTGCCATAAGGATGGTTTACCCCTCATGAGATACCAGTTTTGGACTGTTATTTCCTGTTGGCTTCAGGAAGCAGGCATTATAGGTTGGAAATTTGGCACTCATTCCTTTAGAATAGGTGCAGCATCCACAGCAGCAGCTTTAGGACATGGGGAGGAGCAGATAAAGAAAGTGAGAAGGTGGTCCTCACACAGGTTCAAAATTTATGTACATTTTCTCCCACAATAGATGTAGTGTTTGTTTTCTCTTTTAAGCTTCGAGGCGGCTACCACCTGGCTGCAAGTTGTTTTGTATGGTCACAGTTATATTCATTGAGTGGCGAAACATGCTTTGTGGACCTGTTGGGGCCATAATTTAGGCCTGGGAGTTCTGGCCCATTGGAATGGAAAAGAAGGAGGGATATGCTCTGAGCTGAGCTCTTAGTATGAGCCTCCCAGAATCTGATGGATGCGCACCCTGATATATTGGTTGTTCACTTGAGAGAAATGACTTGACTTTGAGAACAGGAAAGTCATTGATATTACAGGCGATTCATGATTTGAGCCTTGTGGCGCAGTGGTTAAACTGCTGTACTGCAGCCGAAACTGTGCTCATGACCCAGGGTTCAATCCCAGGTAGCCGGCTCAAGGTTGACTCAGCCTTCTATCCTTCTGAGGTCGGTAAAATGAGTACCCAACTTGCTGGGGGGGGGGCAATGTGTAGCCTGCATAATTAACTTGTAAACTGCCCAGAGAGTGCTTGAAGCACTATGGGGTGGTATATAAGCAACACACTTTGCTTTGCTTTGCATTTGCAGACCATAAAGGATAATTTTCCTATAACAAAATTGATATGGTCAAACATTATACCAAGATTGGTATGGAAAGCTGATTGTGATCCTAGATGCATTGACCGCGCAAGGCATGGTGTGAATCTTGAAGTGAGCCAAGCCATGAGGGTCATGAGGCTCTGTGGGCTGAAATGGTGGGGGGGGGGTAGCCCTATCACAGGGCACCTGGAGACATGCTGTACAGTTGACAGTATGATTCCGAAACAGGAGCACACCCTGCTCTAGAATGGTTCGGAGGTCAAGGCTACACTGGATTGGAAGAATATCACACTCCATTAGGCCCCCTTGTAGATGGGGGATTTAGTTTAAATAGTTAATAAAGCTGTGGCCCAAGTTTTAACCCAAAAACCTGTGTCTTTATTTCTGGGCTGGGAGGGCAAAAGGGATATAGCCAACAAATGTTTCACAAAGTGGCCTTATGAAAATTAATTTGGAGGAGACTGTCCTCCATGACACCACTTTTAAGTTTTCCAAAGAAATGGCCCATGTTTCCATTAGTATTGGCAGTTAGCACTAGCTTACTCACCACCATTACTGAATTCACAGTTGTGATGGTGTGATGATCAGCAAGTTTTTGTGAATTTTTCTGCTGGAGTTGCACAAAGGAAATTTGGGCGATGACTTTTTACTGCCTTGCCTATATGATTTCAGCTATTCCTGCCTGGGCAGGAAATATAAGTGAAATGTATAAGCATAGTTTAACTAAAAGTCTAGTTCCCCACCACAGTCTGCAAGCACTCTTAAAGCCCCAGATAGAACCTATCTTGAAGGTGATAAATAGGATATAATGTGCTGACCTTAACCAGCTTCATCTGGTCTACCATGTGCTGGCATGGGGGACCAGATGAAGTTGGTAGTTATGCATGAGTCCCAGCTTCATCTGGTCCAGTAGATATTTAGGCAATACTTTTATTTCTTTATTTAAAATATTTTAAGCCTGCCTTTTTTCCTTAAAAGGGCTCTGCCCTTTAAAATAATAGAAGCTGAAGCTCTGTGTATGCAAACGCTGTAGCAGAACACAACAAAATAATGGCTCTTTATGGAGGAGAGATACAAAAATGGTAACACTTCAGAACAAAGCTAAGGACAATTCTGAGAAGATTATGTAAAACATAGAACTTTAGCTAGAGCTCTTTTTATTTCATTGTTTCTCAAGCTGTAGAATACGGGGTTCATTAAAGGGGGAATCATGGAATATGATATAGTCATTACCAAATCAAGAGATGGTGGAGAATTAGAGGAGGGCTTGATATAAACAGAACATGTTGTAAACACAAATATGGAAACCACAATGAGGTGGGGAATGCAAGTAGAAAAAGCTTTCTGCCTTCCCTGCAAGGAGGGAATTTTTAGCACTGCTGTAAAGATGCACACATAAGTCACAATGATGAAAATAAAACATCCTACTACAATCCACATAAGTCACAAGGATGAAAATAAAACATCCTACTACAATGACAGCACTAAACAAAATAAATCTAAATTCCATTAGGTGGAAGTTGGAGCAGGTGAGTTTCATTAACTGTGGGATTTCACAGAAAAATTGATTGACAACTTTGGAGCAAAAGGGGACTGCAAAGGTACCACCAGTGTGTAAGACTCCATAAAGAATGCTGATTATCCAGACAATAGCAATCATCTGAAGACAGGCTTTCTTGTTCACCAACATCTCATATTGTAATGGAATGCAAATGGCAACATACCGGTCATAAGCCATAACTGTGAGAAGAAAGAAATCAGATGCTAAAAAGAAGAGGGAGAAAAGCACTTGAGAAACACATCCAGAATATGAAATCTGTCTAGTATCCAGGATTAAATTGGCCATGGATTTGGGGACAATGACTGTAACTTGTCCCACATCCTGTATGGCCAAAGTCATCAGAAAGAAATACATGGGGTTATGTAAATGGTGGTCTGTAGCTACTGCAGCAATGATGAGAACATTTACTCCAACTGCTACCAGGTAATAAACAAGGAAAACAATGAAGAATAAAAGCTGAAGCTCGTGAAACTGTGAGAATCCCAAGAGAAGAAACCATGTGATAGAAGACTGATTCTGTTCATGAAGATGCATGATGCCTTCCTGTGGAAGGAAGCAGAAGGACATGAGGTAAAAAGAGCAGCCAGGGTACTTGCAATTGCTAGTGTTTTTGTTCTTGTGTCATCGTTGTTTTATTTATCAGTGTTAGTAAACTACTTACATCCAAAGATGTGATGCAATTGGTGTTCAAAATTCATAAAATATACAGTCCAATAATACATAGGATCAGTGCACAGAGAATGAGAATAAAATTATTGATAAACTGAACTACAGAAGGAAGCCATTCAAAAACTGGTCTGTCTTCAACCTTTGACTATAAATTTAACTTATTAGACCCTGGTGGGAAGAGATACACACAAGAAGTATCCCACTTCATTAATATCCACAGGACCTAGGATCTGTTCATGAAGATGCATGATGCCTTCCTGTGGAAGGAAGCAGAAGGACATGAGGTAAAAAGAGCAGCCAGGGTACTTGCAATTGCTAGTGTTTTTTTTTCTTGTGTCGTTGTTGTTTTATTTATCAGTGTTAGTAAACTGTTTACATCCAAAGATGTGATGCAATTGGTGTTCAGAAGTCATAAAATATACAGTCCAATAATACATAGGAACAATATACACAGAATGAGAATAAAATCATTGATAAACTGAACTACAGATGGAAGCCATACAAAAACTGGTGTGTCTTTTCAACCTTTGACTATAAATTTAACTTATTAGAACATGGTGGGAAGAGTATCACACTTCATTAATATCCACAGGACCTAGGATACCACCTGCAGGGCCTCTTCAGATGAGATGAAGGACAAGAGGGATTCAAATAGAAAAATGATGTGGGGCATTTTATCTCAAAATGTCAGGGAGTAGGGCACTCCAACCACATTCACATGCTGTCAATATTCTGAAATAAGCAGCTCCAAGATTGTATATGTACTAATAAAACTCTAATCCTTCATTAATATCTTGGCAAGAGTATTATTGTACCTGAAATTCCTAAATCGACAACAAGATATCAGTTTAATCTGAGGTTCTGAAATCTGAAGGAAATGAATCCCAGCATACCCTACCAACCGATTAACAGCCAAAATATGTAATCTCTGCTTCATTAGATGTCAAAAATGCATTTGAAACAACAACAACAAAATTAAAGTGAAAATTAAGCAATCAATTTGATAGAGAGAGTTTGTCCCAATAATTTATCTCTGTTATGAAACAAAACAAAATGAACAGTACATGGCAAATAGCTGAGTCTTGACAACATTTTCTCACAGCTCTTTGGGTGACAGTGAAACAAAATACATATCTTATTGATCTAGTACACTGGTTCTTAACCTTGGGTTACTCAGGAGTTTTGGACTGCAACTCCCAGAAGCCTTCACCACCAAATGTGCTGGCAGGGGTTTCTGGGAGTTGCAGTTCAAAAGCATCCGAGTAACAAAGGTTAAGAACCACTGATCTAGTACAATGTGAATTCTTCAGTCATATCTGATGCTGAGAGAACAAAGTATCTTATTGTTATAGATAACAATTAAAAATGAAAATTCATGAGAATCTGTTCCACAAGGCTGTGAATGGTAAAGGAGATATTAACCGAGTAGACTTTGTCTAGAGGGGTGGGGTATAAGTCTAAATAAATTAAAAAGTAAAAGAAGTCCAGAATATCCAACTCTTAAACCTCTGACAAGTCTACATATCTTATAGATCTAGTACAATGTGAATTCTTCAGTCATATCTGATGCTGAGAGAACAAAGTATCTTATCATTATAGATAACAATTAAAAATAAAATTCATGAGAATCTGTTCCACAAAGCTGTGAATGGTAAAGGAGATATTAACCAAGTAGACTTTGTCTAGAGGGGCGGGGTATACGTCTAAATAAAGTAAAAAGTAAAAAAGTAAAAGAAGTCCAGAATACCCAACTCTTAAACCTCTGAGAAGTCCGTGAGAAGAAATGTTGACAAGGAAGAATGATTAATCGAATCATGACCCTTACCAAGGATTCTTCCTATGAGAATGAGCAAGACTGAAATAGGGCTTACCAAGCTAAGTACACTGCAGTACTTGCATATTTAATATTAAGTTATTTAGCATTATTGTTTTTCTTATTGCTATTATCACTCCATTCTTGCATATTTAATATTAAGTTATTTAGCAATATTTGTTTCTTATTGCTATTATCACTCTATTTTTTCCACATTTCTCTTCTGTTGAGGATGTACAGATATAGAGCCATTGCTTAGAATCTGTAAAAGCCTAGATGATGGCCAATAAATTAAAGCTGAATCTCAACAAGATGGGTGCTCTGTAGTTCTTTGGCTTCAGGTTTAGAAATTGATGACCTGGTCAGGATGTGGTCTCAGTTGCCTGAAGGAGCAGGTGTGTAGTATGAGAATACTCCTGAGTCTATTTCTCTTAGAAGGCTTACATGAGATCAAAGGCTCTGAATGCCTTGAGCCAGCTTTAGTTGGCATGCTGTGATCATTTCAGCACGACAGCCTGACTATGGAAAAATATAGCCTGGGAGCCTTCAGGTTAGATCACAGTAAGACACTTTATATGGGCCTAACCTTAAAGATCACATATAGAGTGCTGCAAGTGTAGTATGCCATAGCTGGACTACACTCAGGAATACCTTTTAGAACCCATAAAAGGAACACATCAGCTGGCAATAAGCATCCAGTCCAAGTGCAAACTGATGGTGATGAGGAACAAGCCCTAAATGGCTTATTGACCTGGATATTTAAGGAAATTCTATCATTTTATGGAGCTGTCTGATCAATAAGATCTACTGAGGAAACAATGGAAGCGTGAGGCAGTAGTAATATTTACTAATGGCTCAAAGCATTTTTTTGATTATCTGTGTGTAACGATTATTTATATTGTAGAAGGAGTAGCCATGCTAGTTTGTGCAAGCATTGTAGGTTATAATCTATATCTCACATTTCATGGTTCTACATATGTGTGTGAGAGAGAACAAGAGAGAAAAATATGGGATAGTTTTGTAGCAAGAACAATTGAGAAAGTCCTGAAGTAATAAGGTGGAAATTACTTACAGTTTTTATTCACATGTTTCTCCCAGCATCAAATACATATCCTCTTTTACTGATATTCAATATCCTTGTATGCTATGTGAACAGTCAGATATACCTTTTTATATATTCTTCTTATAGACAGCAGGAGTTTGTTACTCTGGAGAGAATATTCTCTTGGTGTCCCTTGAAAGGTGCCCTATGGGAAGCCATCATAACTCAGAAACACAAATGTTCAAAGATATGGCTATTCACTAATATGTACCAGTGATCTCCCTTGGCATTAGATACCTTCCTTTGTCTCTGAGAAGTTGCCTATATCGAGCCAGGCATAATGTAATGGAATATGTGCAAATGAGTGGATAAATATAGAGAAAAATTCATAGATTGCTATCCAATTTAACGTGAAGGATGAGAAGGAGGGGATTTTACTATTTTGATAGCAGTATAACATAAAAGCAAGTCTGGCTTGTTGCTTGTCCAAAAGGTGTGAGTCCCACTCCTTTCCTTCTCAATTCTGGAAATCACAGAAAGGAGTATGTCTTCATTCCTCTGTTGAAGGTCTTTGGGGCAGCACAAGATTAGACTTTATGGCATTTAGCTTGAAAGCTCAGCAACACAATTGGAACAAGAAATGGCTTGTGATGGGAAAAGATAGGTGTGTGGAAATCTTTTCCAATGACTCAAATCATAGGGAGATTTTGTAAAGGAGAACTTTATTTAGGTATAATGATGCACAATATATATCACACATTGCCACATTTGCATTCAGATAGATCAAGCTTGCTGCACTGGCAGGATGCATGAGTATAGAAAGTGAGGCAGGAGTTGAAGTTAAAGGCTAGTTTTTCTTTTGAAGGTAATAGGATATATGAATTTCTTCCACTCCAATGAACTATAATTGATTTGCCCAAATTGGGTGGCACAATGGTTAAACCGCTGTACTGCAGCCAAAACTGTGCTCATGACCTGGGGTTCAGTCCCAGGTAGCAGCTCAAGGTTGACTCGGCCTTCTATCCTTACGAGGTTGATAAAATGAGTACCCAGCTTGCAGGGGGGGGGGCAATGTGTAGCCTGCATAATTAACTTGTAAACTGCCCAGAGAGTGCTTGAAGCGCTATGAGGCGATATATAAGCAGCATGCTTTGCTTTGCTTTGGGTGTTTAGTATGAGAATGGTTATTTCTTCATGAATACAGAGGATACCATAGGGAGGAAAGAAAGGAAAATAAAAAATCATTGTACCTGTCATTACAGTTGTAGAAATATTTCACCCTCACAAAATAAGACTGGGGAGAGGCGAACACAAAATGTACTGCCATCCAGTCTATTCATGTTGCCATATCAACTTGACTTTCCGCTTTTCTACTATATGATTGCCTTCTAGGTTATAACTTACATTTACATTCTAGTTTTAATCTATGTTATTCAAGTTCTATCTGGTGACTCAAGCCATTTATTTAATAAATCCTATCATTCAGTTGCCTTTTGAATTGGACAGTCTTTCAGAGATTGCTCCAGAGGCAAGGAGCCACCGCCGAGAAGGCCCAGTTTCGTGCCTTTTCCTTCCGGGCCTCTCTCAGCATCAGGCTCCTCAGCCTCACCTCCTGGTGAGGCTGAGGTCGCACGGGTGATCTGGGTAGATCTTGGTGGGAGTAGGTGTTCTGCCAAATATCGAGATCCTAAACTGTTTAGGGCCTTATAAGTGAGCACTAGAACTTTAAAGTTGATGCGGAAACGAATGGGCAGCCAATGCAGCATTCTCACTCCATTGAGGAGTCTGGCCGCCGCATTCTGCACCACTTGAAGTTTCCGCATCAGTTTCAAAGGCAGCCCCATGTAGAGCACATTACAGTGATCTAATCTTGAGATTACGAGCACATGCACCAAGGTAGTTGAGTGCCCCCATGTCGAGATAGGGCCGCAGCCGGGCAAATTAGGAGAATCATCTGTCAGATCTGCTTTGATGTGGATTCCTGCACCGAGCAATGGTTGAACTCCATGG